GAAACTACCAGCTGTTCCGCGGGAGAAAGATGAGGCTTTCTGCTCCCGTAAAGATTTACAGCCTTGGAAACCCTGTGCAGGGTCGCTATGGGTCAGAACCGACTTGACAGCACTAGACAGACAATTTATAAGAAGAAAAACAATTTCCAACAGTAAGGGCACAGGTGAATTAAACTATGGTCAATCATAAACTGGATATGGCGGTTTTTGAACTTTATGATCAGGTTAAAACACTGAATTTAAAAAGTAAAGAACTACTTTATATATACTCGATTTCAATTTAGTTTAAAAATATTCACAGAGAAAAATGTATACAAATGTAACATTATGGTAGTTTTTCTAATTGATAGGATTTGGATAAGTTTTCTTTTTTAACAATGGTTATTTTCCCCACAATGGGAACATATTTCTCTTTAAAATCAGAAAACAGGTAACTGTTACAAAATCTCTATTCAGAAACAAAACCTTACCGGAGGAGGAAGCGCTCCTTCCATTAAAACCAAAGTGTCTCCAGAGCGAAGGCCAAGAGCTTTCAGTGTCGCATCCTAGGAATACAGAACCATTTTTCTTTTCTTGCCATTTACAAGTTTTTACAGTTTTTATTGTAAATTGAATTATAGTCTCTCCATGGGAGAACATGGATTTTACACTCATCATTTCATTACAATAATCATAATCTCCTCCATGTATCGTCATTCTACAGTATTTGCTTCTAGTCCATTCCCTGTTTTATTTTTTTTGCCACTGACTTTTGGAAACAACAAACAAATGTTTTGTTTTTATCTTTGTGTCTCTTAAGACGTTTCCAGAAGTAAATGAATGAAGCAGATACTGGACCGAGACGAAATGAGCCAAGGCATCAAAGCAGATGGCTACGGTTACACTGTGGGATAGAAAGCATGTCATCACAGGTCAGAGGACAGGGAGGTGGAGGAGACTTGAGTTACACAAGACGGAATTTAGGGCTGGATTTGGAGAGACAGAGGAAACGAGACAAGAAGGTTGTGAGGCCAAGGTTGGGAAGCAGAGTGGCTTGTTTTGGTGTCCAGCTGGGGACCAGGAGGAAGAACAGCTGGACTGAAGCGTGGGGCCAAGGATGAGACGTCAACAAAGGCACTGTGCTGTTCTGGAAAAGACGTCACTCAGGATACCCGAGAAGGGTTCTTAGGGACAGCTCTGGCTGCTCTGTGTATGATGGATGAAGTGGGGACTACTGGGGGCTCAGGGAAGTGAAAGCTGCCAGGTCTGGGGACAGCTGGCGGAGACTGGGCAAGCTGGCCTGTCAGACCCTTGAATGCTACTACGACAGAGCAGGAGGAGGACAGGTAGTTCAGTCTGAGCGGCGGCAGACAGCAGAGCTGCCTCTGAGTCTGCTTTCAGATCAACTGGTACAGACTGGGGTATGACCAGGTAAGACAGTACTAAAACCTTATCAAAAATAATGCTCTTCTGACATCCAAATGGTAGGGCCTGAGGGTTCCGAGTCCACTTTTTACTGTAGGAAGACGACGAATTCCCCTTCATACTGACTATAACGCGTCACCTGCTTCCCCAGCGTTACGCTGACCACCAGTGCCACTGCCCGGAATGCAGACAGACTGAGGGCAGGGCAGCTGACCACAGCCATCCTCACCTTCTCCTGAAGGTCCATTCTGGGTCAGGTTGTGGGTCTGGGACACTTGCTGTTTTTTGGACCAATGAAAGGGAGACTGAGTGACCCCAGCTCTCCTATGTTAACACTGGTCCTAGGCTGCCCTTGATCCCCCACATGAACAGCAGCCCTAAGCTGCCCTCGAGGGTGGCTCCATCTGGAGAGACAGGCAGAGCTTCCACACCTCAGGGAAGCGAGCCACATGACTATTCTGGTTTGTCAGCACATGTGAAAGTTAGCTTTAGTCTATACTGTGACCTGTCACTGCAACTCCATCATGAAAAGGTCGGGCCTATTGTAAAAATGGTGAAAATGTGACAGAGACAGAAAATAAGCAGATGCTGAGCACAATAAAATGAGGCCTAAGTGATTGGTGGAGCCCCGGTGTGGCCCAGTGGGTTAATGCGCCAGACTGCAAAGCCTTTTGAACTGCAAGGTCGGCGGTTCAAGCTCACCAGCTGCTCCTCGGAAACCCTATACAGGGTCACTATGGGTCGGAATCGACTCGACGGTACTGAACAACAACAAGTGATTGGTTGGTAAGACGAATTCTGCCATCACTAACTTACTTCCAGTCTCCTGGGATATTCTCTGCCTCCTACTGAGGAGCTCACCTCTAGGGACTACACTGCTCCCCCAGAGGGGATTTCTCTCAGAGCCCAGAAGCAGTATCGCCAGCTGAGTCCATCCCTCCGACTCCAAGAAACCACATTAAGAAATCAGTGAGAGGCCCATTCAGAGATTCTTGTGTCTTAACAAATGTAGACTGAGTCACGTCAGTGGACAGAGTACCCTGTCTGAAACGAGAAGTTGAACTGGTTCTGAAGAATACAATGGACAGAAATGATCTTACTTCTTCCCTTAAAGCCTCCCCAGCTTCGTAGCACCAATCCATCTTCCGCAAATGCCACGTGTTCCCTATGAAAGAACCAAAATCAGCATGGTACGGACTCAGAAGGTATTATTCTAAGAGCTCCTCAGGAGGGCCGCTTGTGGATAAACCATTGCCAAAGGGGGGTTGGTCTCCTGATTGCCGACAAGCAGCTTCTGACTCATAGCGACCCTGTGTAGGGTTTCTGAGGCTGGTAATCTTTACAGGAGCAGATCCTTCACCCACGGAACAGCGGGTGGACTCAAACGCTGACCTTGTGGTTCACAGTCCAGTGCTAAGGGTCACTCATTAATTTTCTAAATAAATGGCTTCTTCCAGGCAGGAGTGTCACAAAAACACAACAAATGGCTGTCTCCTGACGTGGTCGATCCGCCCTCTTCCACCACGAACTGTACACTTGAGAAGGAAAGCAATACTTCCTACCACTGACTGCACAGCTTTTCGTGCACACACACATGCGTACACACCCCCCATGAACATGTAGACAAGCATGTGGAGTCCCCTTTTAACATTATTATATGTTATTATGGAGTTGTTTTATTTCTTTGTCTTAGCTAAAGTAAATACTAGCCTTTTTAATTAAGAATGTTAGGGGTACAAAACTGGTCCTACTCAGGACTTAATCTAACAAAAATAAAGTTCATTGTGAATTGAAGTGCTGTGAGGTTGTTAGAAATGAATACTTACAATATTAACTAACCCTTAATCCGATTTCTGATTTTCAAAACTGATGAAATAGGATTTTTTTTTTATAGTTAAATGGATCAAAAATTGGAAATCCTAGCTATTAAAAAAGTTTCTATTAGCAATGTCTTATACAGAAAACCTCTCACCCCTTAAAAAAGTTACAGCCACAGCAACAAACACATGCACTGCTGTTGGAGCAATTCCATCTCACAGGGACCCCAGACAGAGAACTGCCCCAAAGGGTTTCCAAGGCTGTGACCAACATGGACACAAGACTGCCACATCGTTCTCCTCTGGAGCAGCTAGTGGGCAGAACTGCTTTGGTTAGCAGATGAGTGCTTAGTCACATGAAAACACCAACTTCGCTGGCATCGAGCTGGTTCTGACTCCTAGTGACCCTGGACGGAGGTGCTGAGCCTGTCAAGCTTTCTGGGAATAGACAGCCTTCTCTCATAAGCAGCTGCTGGGTATGAAGCACTGACCTGGCGGTCAGCAGTCAAGGCGACCCCACCCAGGTCTATTTATCCTCTGGGGAAATGGAATCCCTCCTCCTCCTCCTCTTCGGTGCTGAAGCCTCCTTTGCTATGACTTCTGCTTTAAGTACAGCTCATCCACATTCTAGTGAATCTAAGTGCCTGGGAGAACCACCAATGACTCAGGTGAGAATCATGCCCTCCGATCACAGCTGGGTTCTAAAGCCCAGAACCCACTGCTTGCTGTCTAACTGAGGAAGTCTTTCTCCATTCTGGGGGTGGACGAGGACCTTCACTGTGAGTGAAGCTCCTAAAGAGTGTCCCTCTCCCCCCAGATCATGTGGCCACAGGCACCCTGAAATTCAGACATGACCCACCCAGAATGAGTCCCAAGGAGCCCTGGCTTTGCAACGTTTAAGCACTTGGCTACTAACTAAAAGGTCAGTGGTTCAGACTCACCAGTTGCTCCAAGGGAGAATGCGCTGGCGACTTGCTCTCGTAAAAGCTACAGCCTATGTGGCGCTGAAGGTTAAGCACTGGACCGCAGGTCGGTTTGTACAGCAAGGCCGGAGGTTCAAACTCACCAGCCATTCCTCGGAAACTCTACGCAGGGTCACCAGGATTCGAACCAACTCGACAGCACTTATCAATAAACCCTATGTGGCAGGTGCACTCTGTCATATGGAGTTGCTAAGAGCTGGACTTGCCTGGACGGCCCTGAAGAGGACATGGACCGGGGGCCTTTCCATTCTGTGGTACACAAGGTCACCAGGAATCAGACACAACTCAATGACAACCACCAGCAACAATACACAAGTTCTCAATCAATGTGATCTTCTAAACACCAGTGGAATGGTTTGAAAATCTGGACAAGTCCAGGGAGTCCTAGTGTGGCACTGTAGGATGAGCACTGGACTGCAAGGTCAGCAGTTCCAACTCACCAGCCGCTCCTCGGAAAGCCTCTACAGGATCGCTACGAGTCAGAACCGACTCTACGGCACTAAACAAACGCAGAGGTACACGGTTACATGGCAAGGGTGTGGTCAGGATGACGTCACCATGGTAGACAACTCACCCGGCAGGCCGGATTGCTCCAGCATTTTCTTTAAACACTGTAAAAGGAAAGAATTCAGTGTTAGCTTTGTGGGCTCTGTGCCGAGCAGACAGGACCCACTCCTGAGTCAGCACGGCCTGCTAAGAGGGACCAATCAGGGGCCGTCAGCTCGATTCTGAGTGGCGGTGCCTCCGCATGCTCAGGGCAGAGCTGAGACCCTTGGAAGACGCTGCCAGGCTCATCTCCCGGGACCCCTGGGTGACTTTGCAACACTCCCCTACTAGCCACTGCTCCACAGGGTCTCCTCCTATGGGACCGTTATTGTTCCCTGTGCAGGGTTTCCAAGGTGCAGCTGGGGGGCTTGAACTGGCAGCCTTGAGGCGAGCAGTCCAGTATTGATCCTACAGCAGCCCCGTGGCTGCCTAGGAGACAGGAGGGGCCCACTGAGACGGGGGGGTGTGCAGCCAGAACTTAGTTCACAGCACCGTGGCACCACTCTTGACTCCCCGAGTTCTTAGTGGACAGACACTTCTGACCAGATATGGTGAGTGAGGCTGATTCTATAGATATGCATGGACTCTGAAACGTATCAAAGGATCTCAGAGAAACTCACCAGGGAAGACCTCTGCGAGCTGGGGCCTCCTGGTGAGCAGTGAAAATGGGACGCTACTGACCACAGTTGAAATGGAACAAACATTAACAGTGAAAACCCCTGCACTCCTAATAATAAACCTTGGGTAAAAGAGAACAGCAAATCTAATTTACTCCAGAGAGCTGACGGCAGCACCTGAGTGGACAGACCAGGGCAGATGGGCCAGCAGTAAGGCCCAACTAGGAAACATGCTGAAGCAATGGGAAGTATACAACAGATTTAGATGGACTGACCTCACGTAGTGGCTTACGTGCTGGACTGCTAAGCACTCTCTCTGAGAGAAATGAGGCTTTGTGCTCCTGTAAAGGTTTACAGCCTCAGAAACCCTCCACTGGACGGTCACTGTGAGTTGGGATCTACTGGGCCGCGTGCAGCAGCAGCAACATATAGACTGATCTTAAATGATCGTTACAGTATTTTATGCAGAAACTTGATGTTCTAATCTAACACATGCACTGTGAGCTCATTTAAGACGGAAAAGCAGCTGTACCCACAAGCCCAGCGCTCCGTTTCTATACGCTTGTGTCCACATGCTAGTAGATGTGCACCTCGGGTCTGATGCACACAAGATGACATTACCTGGGGACACTGGGGAAGGGGCTGGAACAGGGTGGTGGCAAAGGGGGATTTTTAAATCCCTTGAAGTTTAAAAAAATGAGGCCATGTCCACGATGGTGTGCACGATGAAAATGAAAATGTAAAAGAGATGCAATTACGGATCGGTTAGAGAGTGACGGCAGTTGAGGACACAGAGCAGAGCTGGGCTCACAGGAACTGTGGTGTCAGTCCTTCCCTGATGTGAGAGACCAATAAATACCTGTGTGCACGTGTCTATCTGCGTGTCTGTGGGTGTGTAAAGTAAAAGCACCAGGAGAAAATCTACCACAATGATTGTCAGGTGAGACAAGGTACAACAAGAGAATAAAAATGGTTTCTTTTATCAATGTTTGCAGATCTCAAATTTCTACAGTAAAGCACTACTGATTTATACAAGAAAGAAAAAGTAATCTTCAACTATTCCTTTAGAAAGTATGTGGAATTCTTTGCGGTTTCATATATAAACCACAGTCTTAGGACCTCGAAATCGGCACACAGCTCACGGCTTCCCCTTAGCCCCCACAAGAGCCTCAGCGACGCACCTCTTTCACAGACACGGTCTCCTCCACGGTGATCTCCATCTCGGTCCCAGGGCCGCCGTCACTCTCCGTGGTGAAGAACAGGAACAGCTGAGGTCAGGGCAGACACAGAACCCACCTGAACCTGAATTCTAAGCCTGGAGTGGCACCGTAGGATGGGCACTAGACTGCAAGGCTGCGGTTCAGACCCACCAGTCTCTCTTAGAAAACCCTACACAGGGTCACTATGGGTCGGAACTGACTCAATGGCACTGAACACCAACATAAGGGTGTTGTCTACTTCTAAACAAAGGGAGGCCATGGGCCCTTGAAGCCAATACAAACATCCGGCCACGTCAAAGGAAGACAGGCTGTATTACAATTTAGACATGATCCCGCCTATCCAGATGTGTCGAATGCTCCATTATCAGTGCTTTTCTCCGTATGCTAATCCCTCACAGATAGGTTTCTCCTATGTCTTCATCTCTGTCTCAGCCACTGTCCGCAGGAATCTGTACCCACTCCCTGGACTGCTGTGGAGCAGCATTCAACCATAAGGCCAGTTTGAAGTCGCTTCTCGGAACCCCCATAAAGAGTCATTGAGTAGAAGTGACTCGATGGCACTTACCACCACCACTGGACTGCTAACCACCAGGTCAGCAGCTCAAACCCACCAGTCACTCGGAACCCTTGAAAACAAGGTCACTATGAGTGGGAAGTGACTTGACGGCACACACGAAGCATTGTTTTCCTTTCCTCTGAATCTTTGGGTTACAATTTCAATGTCTGTCTAGGGATACAGCATTTCCCAGGACTCCACAGGAAAACTATAAATCTGGTCTCTTATCAACGGGGCTGCATGTAATGTTCTTGTCCTTTCCCAACTCGGCCTCACTTGCTGAGTCTCTCCTCCTACCAGCTGTCAGGCCGCACTGTTTGCTGGAGGCCCAGCAGCAAGAGTACAGCAGGGGGATGAAGTTGGGACGTGGCGGACGCAGATCCAGAAACCAAGGAGGACCTGAGAGGAGGCCCAATCATCTGGACACAGAGGATCAGTGGGAAGCACATCATTATGGTCTGTAATAACGTTTTATCAAACAGGTAGGACTCTGGTAAAGGCCAGCCCGATGGTATCTGATACAGAAAGTGAATCACAGCAAGGCCATGGAGGGTGAGGTGACAGGATGATGTTCCTACAGAGTCACCAAGCCCCAGTCACCGTATGCATGACAGCGGAAATGCCACCAATTCTAAGACCCTAATTTCACTGATGGGAAAACATGAAAAGACCAACGATGGGACCTGGTGGCCACCGACCCATCAGGGCCCCGTCCCCCTTTAACTGCAATACTGGCCTCAACAGAGGAGCTCATGGGCACGCTCTGATATCACACACAACTACAAGAGGGCTTCAAAAAGTTCGTGGAGAAATCCCATTACCTTTTAATTCCATGTTCCCACAAATGTTTTCAAGCCCCTTGGTATATGGACATATTCTTAAAACACAATGCATCATTTAAAGAAAACAAATAACAAATTTTAGAGAAAGCAAAATTATTATAGTAGTTTGATGCTAACTATAAAGTTCTGACAGGCAACCTTGTTTTACCTGAGTGGAAGTTGGTGCTTTTCCAAGACAAAGTCCTAACGTACTTCCCATCTTCAAGTCGGCTTTCTTCAGTGTGTAACTGTCCGGCACTGGAATGAATGTGACGACACGAGACATGTGAATATTACCAATCGCTACCCCTTTGGGCAAAATAATAGACTGTATCAGTCTTTCTGTGAAAAACCATGTTAAGAAAGGAAAAAAAAAAAGGCTGTACATCAGGTGATGTTTTCCAGTTTCCACGTGTAGAATTTAATTTCTTATTACCTATCTGTACTACAGTGCTAAGAAAGAAGAGGTAGATAGGAATGTTCTAGATTCAGACCTATTAAAGTGACTTGTTCAAAGAGCTGTGGTTTACACATTCAGAACTGAGAAACATGTCAACAAAGATCTCCTAGATTCTTCTAAGTGCTAAGTGGCGACTGTGACTGTTTTGTCAATGAATAAAGGCAATGAGCACCAGGAAATGTCACAGACGTAGGGACCAAAGGCTCCAGTACAGAACTGGCATCACCATCCAATCAGTGAAACACACGGAAGACTGTGATAAAAGGCCAGAGAGCCCATCTAGACCCTAGCTTGGACTAAAATGAGGAGCTCACCACCAGAAAGGCAGGTATTCACCTCTGGTGTTTTCGGCTATGCTGATTCTACAATCACCAAACGGAGACAGCTACAGCTGGAGGACACTGATCCCTCTAAACCCACCTCTGAACGGTGAGGTGATGAATGGTGGTGTGTGTGTCTCGGCTTTGGAAGACTACTCGAAAGTCTTACCTGGAGAAAGCAGCTTCCCGTTTCTATCAATAGGTCTCAAACAGCTGTTCTCAGCTACAAATAAAAAGCAGATCATGTGATGAATAAAGAAACGAAGGCGCTGCTCTGCTGTGTTAATGAGCAGCACAAAGACCAAAGCAAACCCAAGTACAGGCAGCCTTCCCTTTGGACAACAGACAGGAGCAAGAGGAAACCAGGCACAGCATCTTAATCAACTGGAAACATTATGATTATTCTGGGGCCTTTACAAATTTGCCAAAATGCTGAAAACCCTCTTTCTATTGATTGTACATGTCTAAGAATAAAGAAAAATGAACATTTACACTGTTGTTTGAAAGGGTAGAAACATTCAGAACTAAAGTGTTTCTCAGTGTCTCTCTGATGGGCCGAGGTAGCTCTGAGCCCCTTTGCTGAGATCTGGCCCATCTACGTCAGCCTCTCACCACCACCCCTCCTCAGGCCTCTGACTGCAGACCTCGTCTCCCCCACAGCCTGCTGGCAGCCACGTCCTCTGCAACCAGCCACTCCTTCCTTTGGCTCAACTTTTGTGTTTGCTGGCCAACTGTGCACACTCAGTGTATACAACATTGTCATGTGCTTAACGCTGAGAGGACGCTTATGGCCTGCTTTGCTCCCAGAAAGATCTGCAGTCTTATAACCCTACAGAGGGTCATGATGACTCATAATCGACTCGACAGGGGGATTTGGTGTTTGGTTTTGTGGACTGAGTAACTGGCAGGAAACTCGAAGCAACTGTTCAAAGGTAAACTGTAGGAGCTAAACATCTGATGGTACTGAGCTACACCATGGTAGTTAAAAGCTGTACATATTTGCAAAGACTACCTGGAGGTGGTTCCGATCAATGGAGGGGGCAGGCGGGCCCTAGTTTTGAGGAGGCACATAGGTTTTTGTCCAAAGAGATTTCTTAAGGAGGACTTCAGGAGAAAGGTAGCCTTTCCAGTGGTTAAAAAGAGCGCGGGCTCTAACAATTCGGACCCTTATTTAGACCACAGAGGAATCTTTGAGATTCTTACATCAGTACTTTATACTATTGCAATTTCACTGAAGTCAGAATGGAATTCTAACAAACATTTCTTGACAATAAATAAATAAACATTTAAAATATTGTCTTCTTAGACTATTTTGACTTTCATTCACTGAGAACTGCCTGGGTACTCGTGTGTGTCCGGTGCTATGCGCGGACCCGGGGACACAGACACGACTCCTGTCTAAGGGTGAGGACAGAGGTAGTGACAGCAGGAAGTGCTCTGGAGAAGTACAGGGTGTGAGGAAGGGCAGTGGGGGCGGAATGAGAGCAGGGACAGAGCAGCCGAGTTAGGGGAGAGGGCAGAGCTCGGCGAGGTCTCAGGGCAGAGAGCCACAGAGCATGCTCCTGGACAGTACACTGCGGAGACGCAGGGAGCTGCGTCACAGGGAGGTTACCCAACTAGTGGCCAGATGTATAGGTTTTAGTAGGCTAAGGAATCACCCTAAACTCAACAAAAAAAGCACTAAATGTTTTGGGCAGAAGAGTGATATACTCTAATTGATGAATGAGGAGCCTTTGAAAAATGTGTGGGAAAACTCCATAATCTCTTCAGTCCATTTTCCCACAGACTTTTGAACCCCCGCATACATCTAAGGAACCCCGGTGGTCTCCTGAGTTAGGAGGGGGGCCAGTAACTGCAAGGTCAGCAGTTCTCATCTACCCGCCGCTGAGGGAGAAGAGGTGGCTTTGTGGAGGCTCCTGTAAAGATGTGCAGCCTTGGCAGCCTTGAGCCCGAACTGCCGTGACCACCCAGCCAGGCAGCACCGCAAAGCTATGAAGCTCGCTGGTTCTACAAGGAATGGTTTAGCGGGGAGGAGAGTGGGAGGGGGAAGAGAGTTACAGGGGGAAATAATAACTGATTCATTTTAATAAACCATATACTTCTATTCAACCTTACTGATTATGGTGTAACTGACTTACTAATAACAATGCAACCATTTAACATGTACAATTCAATGAGTCTGACAAATATCCGAACATCCAGATAATCATCAGCAAATCCAGATGTAGATCAATCCCACCTGACCCAATCACAGATCTGCCTTCTACCACCAGAGCTTGGACTGGCCTTCCCTAGAATCCCTGGGATGTGGAGTCCTCCCATTTAACTTCCTCCCATGTTTTGCATGTGGATTGAGTTCACTGTTGACTGAGAAACAGTAGAGGGCGCTCCAGTGACGCTGACTCCACAGCTCCTTTACTCACTCCCAGGCTCAGGGACATTCACGCTGTTTCTGCTTTTTGGTGTAAACAGGTACAGACAAGCCTTTGTGCAGACTTATACTTTCATTTCTCTTACATCAATACCTGCAACTTTTCAGTGTATATTTAACTTGATAAGAACCAGCAAACTCGTTTCCACAGTGACGTTACCACTTGACAGGCGGGCCCAGCAGCCACTCGTGAAGTTCCTGATGCTTCATGCCTTTGTTTCTTCAGGGTTTTACCCTCACTGGGTCACAGCAGTGCCCAGTGTGAATGCGATGTGCACTTCCCTGGTGGCAGAAGATTTACAGCCTCGGAAACCCTGTACAGGGTCGCTATGGGTCGGAATCGACTCCATGGCACAGCACCACCACCTCTCCCCATGGTTTATATGTAAATCACTGCACAAAGATATTGTCCTATGTTTTCTCCCAAACATAGGAGTTTTCAGTTTTACCAACTAGGTCTATGATCCATTTTGAGTTATTTTTTTTACATGGTATGAGGTAAAACTAACTTTTCATTTTTGTGCATACTGAGATACAATTAGTCACGCATTTCTGTGGAAAAGATGCTTTCTCTACTGAAATAGTTGGCTCTTTTGTTGAAAGGCAACAGGCTATATGTGTCCAAATAGTTCTAAGCGCGCGGACTCTGTTTAGTTCCACTGTGAGACCTGAGGCTTTGTGTGCAGAGGTCTCCTTTTTCCCTCCTAGATAACTCTTTAACAATGTAAAACGATCTGACACTTCCTGAAAGGTTAACAAAGACTTGCCATATGACTCAGCAGCTCCATGCCAAGCCTACTATTTCTACTCCATCCAATTTCTACGCAAAAGAAACGAAAACCAATGTCCACACAAAGACTTAAATGCAAATGTCCCCAGACGCCAAAAAACGGAAACAATCTAAATGTCCATTAACTGGTGAATGAACACACACAATGTGATTGGTCCACAGAACAGTATGAAAGTAACATCTACTAAAAGAACAGTATTGACACATAAACACACGTGAAAGAAGCCGACCCATGACAACATATGTAAGGCCCCTTAACATGAAGTAGCCAGAAAGAGCACATCTGTTGGGAAAATACATCAGGGAATCAGAATGGAGAGCAACTGGAAATGGCCACAGAAACTTCCGGAGATGACTGGAATGTTCGACACCTAGGGTGCAGGAATAGTTCTAAATCTCTGTCCACTGACTGACATCAGTGGACAGTGAGTGGGGGAATTTCATGGTTTATATACTATACTGCAATACAGCTACTAATGAAAACTTCATAGTGAACAAACTGCAAGTTTGTAAACGAGCAAATATCCTGTATGATACAATTTATCTAAACGTAAGAAATATACAGTGTACGGATAAATATATGAGTTAGCTTCAAAAGGTTCACAGAAAAATCCCATTCTATTCCATTTCCATTTTTCCACCAATTTTTTGAAGCCCCCCTCCAGTATGGAGTCCTGGTGTGGCACTGTGTTAAGCACTGGACTACAAAGTCAGTTTGTACCACAATGTCAGTGGTTGAAGCTCAGCAGCTGATCCCCGGAAACCCTACACAGGGTCGCTATGGGTCCGAAGTGACTCAATGGCACTTAACAACAACAACTTGTATGTGTAGTACACATACCGCAATATGGCTACTGGGGCCAGCTACACATCTCGGTCATGTTGCATGGGGGCAGGGAATGATGGCTCTGAGGCGAATCACAGAACTTCTCATTTTATATGCAACGTTTAAAACAAGCACAAACACGTGACCAAATGTTACTATTTGTCCATTTTGGGTGGTAGGTGCATGAGTTTTGCCTAACGTACTTTTGTACTCTTCCACATACTTTTCTGGAGTCCTGGTGTGGCGCTGTGGGTTAATGCGCTGGACTGCAAAGTCAATTGAACTGCAAGGTCAGCAGTTCAAGCTCATCAGCTGCTCCTTGAACACCCTATACAGGGTCGCTATGGGTCGGAACTGACCAACGGCACTTTAACAACAACAGTGATAGTTTGTTTTTATATTTTAAAATCAAAACAAAATTAAACAAACAAAACAACCAAAAAGCAAACAGAAATGATTACCTAGTTCCTTCATTAATTTTAATTCCTGTATGGCTTTAATTCGAATATCAAACACCACCTAAAATAGAGAAATACACTAATGACTATGTATCAGTCAAAACAATGGGAGGAGAGGCACAGGCGGAGGTCTGTGTACAAACAGCTGAGACGGCAATCACCAGACGCTTAGTACATTTTGTCTGTTTGAAAACGGGTTCTCCACCCGGGAAATGTATTTTCTTGCTTTTATAAGGCTAAAACCCCACAACACTGAAAACCTCAGAACTGAACAGTTAAGATTTTACCAACTGAACAGAAAGAGCAGCCACAGAAAGCTAACAAAAAGACACAAAATTGGTAAAATGCTGACATTTCTGATGAGAAGAAACAAGCCACAGCAGACAAGCACATGTCTTTATGTCAAAAATGAACACTGGGACCCCTAAGCATAAATAATCTAAGATTGTAGAATGCCAGCCCACAGGCCATATGCAGAATCTCTACTGACATTACTGCATCTGGCTTTCATTCAGGCTATGTTCCTGAAGGGCATAAAATCTTGGTAACTTAGAGGTGAGCTGACCTGAGCCTACTCTAGCCTTGGTGGAGAAGCCCTGACTTGCCAAGGCAGGAGCGGACTGCTGTGGCAAAGCCTTCCCCAGAGACTCCCACCGAGTGCCAGGCAAGCAGGTCTCCTGAGAAAGTCGGCTGGGAGCTTACCGTGAACCCTCTGCTCTACCAGCAAACATGCATACACCTGAAATGCGGCAAAATCTTCTCAAAGAAAAGGCCATTTCAGTATGTTTCTTTTAACTTGTTACCAAAATTCCCCAACAAAAACCACTTAAGTGGAACTATGTGAACTTAAAAAGGTGTCCCCTGAGGTCATGTTTAAAAAGCAAAATTATCACCTACAAATGGACAAGCAAAGGAATTCCCTTTGGGTAGTAGCTGGCTTGGTATAGCAGTTTGTGATAAAAAGTAAAAATCATTCACAAACCTGGCTTAAAAAACACAGACGTGACCCTTAAAAATAGAATGGTGTATTTCTCAAAGCCAGATGTGTCCACAAACTGACTTAAATAGATAACACCCACCTTCCAATTATGGACTTTGGCATATTCTTGAAATATGCTGAAGGTGAATGAATCTACATAAACAAGCAACCATCAAGTAGGAAAAAAAAATTGTTTTTCAAGTCCATTTTAAGACAAATGATTAAGGTATTACTTTCTAAAATAAAATATTTTAGATGAAAAGCTGTCCATCAAACTTTCATGAAAACAACTCACTGTGTTCACAGCTGCGGAGATTTTAACCTGCTGTTCTTCTGACTCCAGCTGGCAAGCATTGATAACTTGGAGCCAGTTGTTTTCATTTGTACGAATGTTCCATTTCTCTTGTCTGCTCAACAGACTGTAGATAAAAAGACATTTCAAAAATGCTTTGTCAGAATTTTACGGCTCATGCAGGACCAGAAAATGAATGCATTTCTTAGGTATGACTTCTAAACCCTGACCTGCCTACCTTGTTCTAGTGAGAGGTCTGTACGAGTACTGGTTAGTTCTTGCTGTTGGGTACCATCAAGTTGATTCAAACTCATAGATACCCTCTGCACAACAGAAAGAAACACCACCCAGTCCTGTGCCAACCTCACAATTCTTAACATTTATGTGCCCCCCCCCGCCCCCCTTTCAGACCTTCCACTTAACCCAGCATGATTTCCATCTCCATCGACTGACTGGTCCTTCCTGACAACATGTCAAAATATGAGAGACAGTCTCACAATTCTGGCTTCTAAGGAGCAGTCTGGTTACATTTCTTCCAGCACAGATTTGCTGGGTCTTTTGCCAGTCTATGGTGGTAGTTATGTGCCGTGCAGTCGGTTCCGACTCAAAGTGACCCATTATAGGGTTTTGAAGGCTATAAATCTTTACAGGAGCAGAAAGCTTCATCTTTCTCCTGTGGAACAGCTGGTAGTTTTGAACTACTGACCATGAGGTTAGCAGCCCAACTCACTATGCTACCAAAGCTCCATCTGCCAGTCTATAGCACTTTTTAATATTCTCTTCAAACACTGTAACTTTAACACATCAATTCTTCTACAGTCTTCCTTATCCAACTTCCATATGCATATAACTGAAAACACAAGCCTTGGGTCAGGTGCACATTAGTCCTCAAACTGACATTTTTGCTCTTGAACAATTTAAAGACATCTTATGCCACAGATGTGCCTAGTGCAATACATCGTTTGATTTCTTGACTGCTGCTTCCACGAGTGTTGACTTTGGACACAAGCAAAATAAAGTCTTTGATAAACTTCAATCTTCTCTCCATTTATCATGTCATTTACTGGTCCAGTTGCGAGTATTTTTGCTTTCTTTACATTGAGGGGCAACCCATACTGAAAGCCACGGTCTTTAATTTTCATCAGTGAATACTTTAAGTCCTCTTGATTTTCAGCAAGCAAGGTTGTATCCTGATGTGTTTATTGGTTCAGTTGTAGGGATTTTGTTTTCTTTACAATGAGGTGTAACCCATACTGAAGACTGTGGTCTTTGATCTTCATCAATTAAGTATTTTAAGTCCTCTTCACTTTCAGCAGCAAGGTATTATCATCTGCATATCAAAGATTGTTAAATGAATCTTCTCTAATCCTGGTGCCACATTGTTCTTCATATAATACAGCTTCTGGGATTATCAGCTCTGTATACAGACTGACTAAATCTGGTGAAGGGATACAACCCTGGCACACACCTTTCCTGAATTTAAGCCATTCAGTATCCTCTTGTTCTGGTTTAACAGCAGTCTCCTGGTTTACCTGCAGGTTCCTCATGAGTACAATTAAGTGTTCTGGAAAACCCACTCTTTACAATGTTATCCATACTCTGTCATGATGTATACACATTAAAAGCTTCTGCACTTTCAATAAAGCACAAGTAAACATCTTCCTGGTATTCGCTTTCAGTCAAGCTCCATCTTTTGTTAGCAATGATATATCTCGTTCCACATCCTCTTCGGATTCTGGCTTGAATTTCTGGCCGTTTCCTGTTGACGCACTATTGCAACTGTTTCGATGTTTTCCATTCTCTGTTGTTGTTGTTAAATGCCATTGAGTCGGTACTGACTCATAGCAACCCTATGCACAACAGAACAAAACACTGCCTGGTCCTGAGCCCACTGATGCTGCGACTTGGCTAATCCATCTCGCTGGGGGATCTTCCTCTTTTTCTCTGACCCTCCACCTTACCAAACATGATATCCTTCTCCTGTGACTGGTCCCTCCTGACAATGTGTCTGAATTGTGATAGATGAAGTTTGACCATCCTGGTAATCAAGGAGCACTCTGGCTGCATTTCTTCCAACACAGATCTGTCTGTTCTTTTGGCAGCCCGTGGCAATTTCAGTACTCTCCTCCAACACCACAACTCAAAAGCATCAATTTTATCTATGATCTTCTGTTCTCTGCTGGGTTACCTCTATTTGGAATGGGCACAAATATGAGCTCTTCCAATCAGTTAGTCAGGTACTTATCTTTAAAAAATTCTTGGCATAGATAAGCCCGTGCGCAGAAGGCCACTGCACAGAAGTGCCACTGCAGCAGGGCTATCACCCAGCCACCCGCACCTGCATTTGTGTCACAGAGCTTGCTTGCTGGCGCCAGATGGCAGGAGAGTGTCTTGTTCTAGGAAAACGAGCATGTTGTTGTTAAGTGCCGTCAAGTCGGTTCCTACTCATGGAGACCCTGGTGTGTATATAGGATGTCCGAGGAAAAACTGGTGAGCCGACCTTGTAGTTCAAACCAACTTTGCAGTCCAGTGCATAACCTGCGGTGCAACACCAGGACTCCAAGAAAACGAGCATGGTCCTACTAAGTATGTCTAGCAGAGGCAGTGACGGGCATAGGAAAAGGGGTGACTTCTTTCTACCAGAAGCCCTCTTTGGGAGTGTTTATCAAACAACAGACTGCTTTGGGCAAATTTGCTGCAAAAGACCGGTTTCAAAAATTGTTAAAAACCAGAGATGTCGAATACATCTAATTAGAGAAACAAAAGTCCTATACCAAGAAAACTACAAAACACTACTACAAGAAATCAAGAGGCTTACAAATATGGAAGAATAAACCATGCTCACAGATAGGAAGACTTAACACTGAAAAAGTCATTACCCAAAGCAATCCAGATTCCAACATCATTTTTTAAGCAGATGGAAATCGTGATCACTAACCTAATATGGAAAGGAAAGAGACCTTGGGTAAGTAAAGCACTGCCTAAGAACAAAGCTGGAGATCTCTCACTCCCTAATCTCAAAATTTACTACACAGCCACAGCGGTCAAAACAGCCTGGTGCTAGTACAATGAAACATACATAGATCAATGGAACAGAATTGGGAACTGTAAGGAAAAGAAAGAAAGAGATGAAAGGAGAGTGTCTTGGCTTCAACAGCAGGCAGGTTTATTGAGAGTAAACCTGGGAGGGGGTACTCTTATGTCACCAAAGGAGACCAAGAGCCCCTCTGTTCCCTTACAGACTGGGGGGTATTTATAGGCCTTGTGGTCTGGGTATAGTTCTGGCGAGTTTAGAATGGGCAGGGGTATGGAGATTTGGGCAGGGGTATGGAGATTTTCATGAAACCTGTAAGTTCAGTGGGGAAGGGTCTCCAGGTATAACAAAGACCCAAGCTTCCCAGGAGATCGGAAGCTCAAGCTGGCCCATTCAGTGTCATTTGGGGTAGTTGCAATGCCATTCTATTGATCAGGGCAAAGTCCTTCAAGAACCCAGAAGTAAATCCATCCACATAAAGTCAGCTGATCTTTATTTAGTAAAGGGCCAAAACACATTAAATGGTGCTGGCAAAACTGGAAACCCACTTGCAGAAGAATGAAACAAGATCCATACCTCAAACCATCTACAGAGACAAACTCAGTGTGGGTTAAAGATCTAAATGCAAAAGATAGAACTATACAGATCATCAATGAAAAACTAGGGAAAAATGTAAAGGTGCTAATACATGGAATAAATACACTATCAGACATCACTAAAAACACAAAAAAGCAAAGGAAAAAATAGACACTTATGTGCATCAAAAGACTTTCCCAATTGAATAAAAAGGGAGTCAACAAACTGGGAAATTTTTTTTTTGCAACAACATACCAGTTGTGGGAAAAAAAAATATAATCCTGTTTATTATATTCGGGTAACTTTTTTTATTTCCTGAAGTAAAGACTTTATGATCTCTCTCTTTTTCTTTGGTTACTTCCTGAAGTGAGTAAAGAATTTATAGTCACTTTCTTTTTCTTTAAACTACTTGGAGTAAGGAATTTATAACTTTCTTTTTCCTTAAACTACTTCCTGGAGCAAAGACTATATGACCCCTCTCTTCTTTTCCTAAAGTAGGAATGTGCGCCTGAAAAATCTGAACTAGCCAACCGGGTAAGGGAATAGATTGTGCGGTCAAAACCCTAGCCAACAGGGTGAGACACAGCCTTGAGACTCGCGTCAGGGATTAAAAACCCGAGTGGACTGTCCACTCGGTGTGCTCACTGGCCTGTTTGTGTATGTACAGCTATGCGCAGGCACCCTCTTGCAGGAGTTAAATTTTACTTTGCCAAGGTAATTTAGTCTCACCGAGTGTCTTTTATGCGACATCGGGATTCATTTCTAACACAGTCAAGGGACTCATCTCTAAAATCTATATAAAACTACAACACTTCTACAAGAAAAAGACAACCAACTTAATAAATAAGCACAGGACATGAACACACTTCACCAAAAATGACAGTTTGTCAAGCAACAAATGAAGACATGTTCACAGTCATCAGTCACTATTGTCATCAGGTGCCATCGAGTCGGTAGTGACTCACAGCGACCTTACACACAGCAGAACGAAACACTGCCCGGTCCTGGGCCAACCTCACTGTTGTTGCCACACTTGAGGCAGTTGTTCGAACAGAACATGGGAACACTGAATGGTTTAAAATGAAGAAAGGTATGCGACAGGGTTGTATTCTTTTACCATACTTATTCAGCCTGTGTGGTGCTGTGGGTTAATGCGCCAGACTGCAAAGCCGGCGGTTCAAGCTCACCAGCTGCTCCTCGGAAACTTACACAGGGTCGCTATGGGTCGGGATCGACTCGATGGCACTTAACAACTGAGCAAATAATCCAAGCAACTGGGTTCCATGAAGAAAAACGTGGCGTCAGGACTGGAGGAAGACTCATTAACTACCTGCGATATGCAGATGATACAACCTTGCTTGCTGAAAGTGGAGAGGACTTAAAATACATACTGATGAAGATCAAAGATCACAGCCTTCGGTATGGATTGTATCTCAATGTAAAGAAAATAAAAATCCTCACCACTGGACCAATAAACAACATTCTTATCAATGGAGAAAAGACTGAAGTTCTCAAGGACTTCATTCTTGGACCAACCATCAACACTCACGAAAGCAGCAGTCAAGAGATCAGATGATGTATTGCATCAGACAAATCTGCTGCACAGGAACTTTTTAAAGTGTTGAAGAGCAGAGATGTCAGCTTAAGGACTAAGGTGCGCCTGACCCAGGCCATGGTATTTTCAATAACCTCATATGGATGCGAAAGCTGGACAGTGAATAAGGAAGACCGTAGAAGAATTGATGCCTTTGAATTATGGTGTTGGAGGAGAATATTGAAAGTGCCATGGGCTGCCAAAAGAACCAACAGATCTGTGTTTGAAGAAGTATAACCAGAGTGCTCTTTGGAGGCCAAGGTGGCCAAACTTCATTTCTCATACTTTGGACATATTGTCAGGAAGGACCAGTCACTGGAGAAGGATATCATGTTTGGTAAGGTGAAGGGTTAGAGAAAAAGAGGAAGACTCCCAGCGAGATGGATTGGCCAAGTGGCAACATCAATGGGCTCAAGCATGGCAACAACTGTGAGGTTGGTCCAGAGTTGGGCAGTGTTTCGTTCTGTTGTGCATAGGGTTGCTATGAGTCGGAACTGACTCGATGGCACCTGACAACAACAACGTCTGTGTGAAGAGCTCAGTATCATATCATCAGCCAAAACAAGGCCAGGGGCCGACTGTGCAAGTTCAGGCTGAACTGCTTGAAGAGCTCCCATTCCAGGCCTTCAACAGTCATGGTTCCCATTGCTGTACTGGGATGAAATCACCCAAATTATAACAATTCTGTTCTGTTCCCGTTTTGCTTCATCAGTCATGACAGAATTGATTGGAAACCTAGCATAAAAAAGGAAAAGTAGTTGTCCATAAGTCAGGCTGCCTGTAGGAGGCTTCCATACATTCATAGATCTGCTCACCATGGAATGATAAATCGTTCACGAGCCAAAGGGTAACATTTTCCTAAGGACAAAGTTGCAAAGAGATGGGAAAGTGGGTGGAATAGAACTAGGAACAATAGGGAGGAAACAAGAAAACTGTTGATGCATGGGTGTGGGAGGGGGTGGCGGGGTGTTGCAGTCATTGAGGTGAAACAAAGTGAATGATTTGTTGAAAGTAAAACTGATGTCTGTAAACCTCAATTCACAATAAAAAGTTTTAAAAAACAATGCATGGAAAAATTCCATTATCTTATAACTCATTTTCCATGAAATTTTTGAAGCCCTTGACATAACCAGGGTCATCTATATTATTTAGTTACACTTTCATTTATATCATTTTTTTCTCCAAGTTGTTTAATCTAGAGCACTGCTGTGTATAACGTCAGACCACAGTGTTTAGGAAGAAAGGAACATTAATGCTGATTACTCTGACAAGAAAGCGCCAGGGTTTGCAGAGAAAATGCTCTCCGCTTTGAGCAAGTTACCTGGGATCACCACTGTCAGAATCCTGAATGAGAAGGGAGCTTCCATTCCTGAGCCCGTGCTCACGGAAGGTCTTCTTCAGGTCTTCCGTGGGAACAGCAGACCAGCTGTGTTTGCCCATAGAGTCAGCACTGCTTAAACAGATGACAGCCGTGGGGACCGCTAAGGCTGTGAGGACAGTGCCCACTTCTGCGTTCGATGGGAAGACGTGAGAAGACTCCACCCACTGCTCACACTTGGCTCCTTCACCGCTGGTTGCTCGCTGAAGAACGTTTAAAAGCAGAGGTTCACAGTCAAGGCCAGTTTGAATCTGGACGCCTCCAACCTACAAAACAACACGGAGACAGCCCTTAGAAGGGTTTCTATTTGTGAAAATTCAGTCAGTTTGCTAACATAGTAAAAGACTACATTTGTCTAACAAACAATCCTGCTTTTTTTTTTTTTTTCTTTTTTCTTTTTCCAAACACAGTACAATTTTCACCAGGTCCGCTTTGATACTTTTTCTTCATGTCCACATCATTAGCTAGCCTAGGTACCTGGTGTGCTCTCTGGATTTATTCTCACATACACAACTCTTCAGCTGGCACCAGGATTCCTACTTAGGATAGCATTTCCACCAGTCCATGTCCCTGCACACAGGATTCCCACTGGCCACAAGATATAATCCTACACACCCAAGACTGGGGCCCAACGCCCTCTCCGTCCCTAGAGTCCCACAGACCACACAGTTGTTCCCACACAGCTGACGAGGCCTCCTGGGGCTCTGTTCACCCTCTCCCTAGCCCACTGTTCTACACCACTCCACAGGGAACAGTTTTGTCCTCTAAAGCAAGAACAGCACTGCTACACTTCAGGAATAGTTGTTGTTAAGTGCCATTGAGTCGGTTCCGACCCATAGCGACCCTGTACAGGGTTTCCGAGGGTGTAAATCCTTACGGGAGTAGAAAGCCTCATCTTTCTCCCGCGGAGCGGCTGGTAGTTTCGAACCGCTGACCTTAAGGTTCACAGCCCGATTCGTAACCACTACACTACCAGAGCTCCTTCAGGAATAGTAGCTACCATGATGTCCAACTCCAGGTGGTGGTGGTGGTGAGTGCTGTGGTGTCGGTTCTGACTCAGTGAGCCCAGATAGGGTTTCTGAGGACCAACTGGAGGGTCTGAACACCAGTTAGCAGCCCAGAGCTTACCCTAGAGCACCACACTAAACTCCATTTACTCAAGTAACATCCAGACCTGTGTGAGTGAACCATCTCAATTAAGTTCCTATAGAGCAGGGGCAATGTAGGGAGCTTCCCAGCATTTGTGTAAAAATCCCATTCACTTCCAATTCTATTTTTCCATAAACTTTTTGAAGTCCCTTTGATCTCCCGTATCACCTACTGCACCTGGTCCATCACCATTTATGTCACGGGTCCTCAAGTACACTAGCAGACCTGGCTTTCTGAGATCATGCTAGAAGGATCTCAGACATGACTACCCTATGTCAGGCCATGTGCCGAGTGTCCAGGATACAAAGGTAAGAAGAGTGTCTGACTTGAAAATCTCAGTTTGAGTCTCATCACATGAAGCACAAAAGACACACAGACGCAAGAAACCTGAGCACGAGGCCATGCTCAAGTACTAAACCAAGTGAGGAGCGAGCTACCAGCCCTGCCTAGGTAAGTTGAGGCCTGTCTCCAAGACTGGGTGACACGGCACACGAATGGGACGACAGAAGTCAACGTGGTTAGAGTGAGGGGAAGAGCAGTCCGGGCCGAGGCATGAAGACATGATGCATTTCAGAAAGAGGTCTGTACAGAGCCTCTTACGGTCTGTTTTATGTTAACCTGTTAAGCTTTAGCTCCTTAGGACTGCTGTGTCGGTCCGCTTGTGGTCTTCATCCTTGTAATTCAAATGCTTAATGTTCTGAAGGAGTCCTGGTGTGGCGCTGTGAGTTGATGCACTACACTGTGAAGCTGGTTTGAGCCACAAAGTTGGTGGTTCAAGCTCACCAGCCGCTCCTGGGAAACAGGGCTGCTATGGTCCAGAACTGACTCGATGGCACTTAACAACAATGTTCTTAACCCTTGTAATTCAAATGATCACAGAGTGCCTGTTGTAAGACAGACACTGAGCTAAATGCTGGGCATATGAAAGGCTCAACCCTGCACCTGTCCCCTCAGAGCTCACGGTTAACAGGAGACACACGTATCAACGGCCATGGCAAAATACAGAGCTAGCATGATGGAGACATGCTGAGTGAAGGGTGTGTACAGAAAGGACACTGGGTCTGGACTTAGTGGAAATGATTTAACAATGGATACCAAAAATGCATTCGATTGTGCCAGGCTGAGTGGGGGCCAGGAAGTAGAAGGGAGGCACAGAGATTGAGGGGACGGAATGACAGTCCAAGCAGCAGAACAACGTGCCATGAGGTCTGGGGAGAGACTGGCAGGGCTGGAGTGCCGGATGCAAGGGACAGACAGGAAGGAAGTGTGAAGAGGTACCATGTGTCAGACCTTCAAGATCCATGGTAAAGCACGTAAATGTTTATGCATGAGATCAGGAGAAACTATTGCCTTTGGGCAAAACAGTGACAGGATCAGATTATGCCTCCTCTTGCCCTGTTTTCTGAGTGTCTGTTAAGAGCCTACAGCCGGACAGATGGCATCTGAGGCAGTCTGCTTAGGGAAGGCAAGTCTCAGAGTCTCGACCGGAGGCACTTAGTGCTCGTGGTGACTACAAGGGTGGCGGAAAGAACCGAAAGCAAAGGTGCCTCCCTGAAGGAGGCGCAGGCTTTCATTTGATCATTTGGGGGAGGTGGGGTGGGTGAGTGGACAGAGAGTGGCGATTCATTCCCTTCTGGATACGTCTCATTTGAGATGCTTCTGGAATAATGTGGTGGTGAGATCCAGTAAGCTGTAGAATACACTATTGTAGGAGCAGTATCTGGAGTGAAAATACAGACGTGGAACTCATCAGGAGTGGGGATGAGTCGTTGGAAATGTGAGACGGCCCCAGGATAGTCCTGAGAACGGTGGAGTTCTCCTCCTCCAGGTCTCCTCCCCCATGTCTTTCCCAGCTCAGGGCACCACGTCCATGCCCCTACGACAGCACTCCCACTGCAGGGCCTTGCTTTCCTCTCCGAGGGAGACTGCTCTATAGCCCCTGGAACATGTGGCCTGGCACGCTGCAGGGGCTCAGGAAGTAGGCTCCCATCTGCAAGGAACACTGACCGTGCCTAGAAGAGGCCTTTTCACATGCTTTCACATATGCTGAATAAAATCTCACTGCAATGAAGCCAGAAAAAGTCCAAAATGATCGTGACTGTTTTTCAGCCTGTTTTACCTCCACTCCGTTCCAGACAAAGATGTCTTCCCCATCCGCGATTTCTACTTCACACAGTGTCCTCTCATCTCCTAGACAGAGAAGACCATCAGTGAGAACACTCATTCAGAACGAGCAACAAAACCAAGAAGAGGCGCTCTCATTAAGGACGCTTAAGACAAAGGCAGCTACTTTTATCATTACTGATACTATTTTATATTATCTGAAGTGCCTCCTTTTTTCCATTACGTAAGCATTCTCCCAGACAGATGCACAGTCTCTGGGAGCAGGGGAGCAGGGCAGCAGGGAGACAGTGACGAGTGTAAAGCTCAGCCATACCTAAGGTTTACAACACTGTGAAAGAAGTTGGCATCGAATGCTCCTCCTATTGTGTGCCCCAGTCTACGTTACTTAGAGCTTCTACGCTTTGGTGAATCTTGTGAAAATGAATTAAAACAATGAACAAAAAAACACTGATCATAGTTTTGGGTGCTGAGAAGCCAGAAATACATGTTTTTACAGCTGCAGATGCTGCTATATTATCACTGAACTTAAAGAAGTAAATGCTTTTACAATCTTGAAATATTTTTTGTTGACTTGCTATAAAATCTGATGCTGAAAGTTGAGTAAAAAGTCAAGCCATAAAATAATGTACACTAGATTTCAAAGCATTTTGCTAGAAATTTGTGGCAATATATGTATTTTTAAAAACCCAAAGACTTGAAAAAATTAGGTAAAGAGGCAGCTTTAATTTCAGAAAATATAAAACTTTACCATGTCAGAAAGCCTGCACACACATATATGTCAGAAACATTACAAATTGGATACAATTATTTGATTTGGAAACCTGACAAGAAGACAATCTATAAACACAGTTTTGGAAGTATGTTGTTGTTATTAAGTGCCATCGAGAGCCGGTTCCGACTCTGTATAGGAGACCCTGTATAGCGTTTCTGAGGAGTGGCTGGTGAGTTCGAACCATCGATCTTACCGTTCAGACTGACCTCACAGTGCAGTAACCTGCAGTAGCACACCAGGACTCCTTTGGAAGTGCAGGTAGTAGGGGAACAGAACATTGAAAATAAATGGCTGCGTTTTCCTATTTCTCTTACCATCAAGTGTCTGGTAAATGTGAAGTCCCGCTGGAACAAACCTTGCAACACTGAGAACCATGTCCCCTTCCCAGAAGTCTAAGAGCTGAGGGTGGAGGGAAAAGAAAATAATGGAAAGGTAATCTATAGGTGCCACAGTTCCCAGGCAAATAATTTTCACGTGTAGATGTTGTCAAGTGCCCTGGAGTCTTTTCTGGCTCTTAGCGACCCTGTACAGGGTTTCTGAGAGTGGCTGGTAGGCTTGAACTGCTGACCTTGTAGTTAGCAGTCCAGTGCGTGTCCTACAGTACCACACCAAGGCTTGAAGTCAACATTAGCAATGAGCAATACATACGCCTATGCCAAAATTTGGAGCTCAGACCGTTCTGGTCAAACAAGTGAATTCAAAGATGGGCGCTGTCACCAGCACTGCCGGAAGGACCCGGACATACCCAGAAAGCACAAAGACCGGAGGGACCACTTTACTTACTGTGATGCTGGTGGACCACAGGGCAACAGACTGCCCCCCCTCATAAAAGAGAAAAAAAGAGCAAAGCCATGTGTTCAATCAGCACTGATGGGAAAGAAGTAAAAGTCACGTGTTCAGTTACCACTCTACAGGAAGTGAAGCAGAGACTGGTGCCCACATAGTCTCATCATGGGAAATGAATCTCTGGCAACATAAAGGTAAAAGGAGTGCAAAAACCAGCACCAAATCATGCCTGTGTGGTGTAGTCAATTACTTGAGGTTTCTTCTTGGTTGCTGTTGGGTGTCTTCAAGTGGATTCTGACTCACAGGGACCCAGGCCCAAGAGAAGAAAACACTGCGTACGTGGTCGTGAGTCATCCTGTGCCACTCCATCTCATGTGGGGCTTCCTCTTTCTCTCTGACCCTCCACTTTACCAGGCATGATGTTTTTCTCCAGGGACTGGTCCCTCCTGATCACAAGTATCACGTATGAGAGACAAAGTCTGGCCATCCTTGCCTCTAAGGAGCATTCTGACTGTACTGACAACAGATCTGTTTGTTGCTCTGGCAGTCCATGACACTTTCAATCTTCTTCCCAGCACCTAACTCTTAGGCATCAATTCTTCTGCCATTTTCCTTATTCATTGTGCAACTTTCGCGTGCATGAGGTGACTGAAAATAGCATGGTTTGGGTCAGGTCCACCTTAGTCCTCAAACTGACATCTTGGCTCGTAACATTTAAGAATATCTCTCCTAAGCACAGTTTTTTGTAAACTACCAAACATTCTCCTGACAGGTCTGATTATGAAAATGTGGGAGAAGCTGACAGGGTGAGAAGCTTCAGCTGTGACTGTTAACAGGTCACTGTGATTGTACAAACTCGAACTCTAACACAAGTATAAAACGAGCCATCTCACAAGCAAGATGTGGGATGTCATTGCCATCGAAGGAGAAGAGCCGGGAGTGGAGAGCGTCCTTTGGCCCCAGAGATCCCTGTGCACCAATCCTCCTCAACCCAAACACACAAGGCACGGACGCTGAGCAGTGGCAGAGGAGATGCCAGCAGCGGTGGGCTTCCTGGTCTACTGAGGAAGTATTTATTGCTGAGTGACTCTGAGCAGGAGGCTGGCTTACAGAGTGGGGTGCCTCTGGGCACTTAATTGGGGGTGCTAGGTTTGCAGAGCTGAGTGAGGCTGAGGCTGAGTGTCTTCAGGCTGGAGTCACGTGTCCTCTGGGCATTTATCAGCAGTCCTGACTGGAGAAATGGTGCCCTCAATAGTTCTGACCCTAAATGATAATCTGCTGAGTTCGCTAATAAACCCCACGACTGTGAGTATAGTATCTGAGTTCTGGGTGGTCGTCACACTGGATGATTGAACCCAGCTGAGTAGAGTGCTGTGGGGCGGGGTGGTGGTATTTTTGCACCTGCCCACAAAGCACGCTCCGACCACCCATAACTCAGGCCCCATACTCACAGTTAGGCGGTTTATTGAAGAAGGTCACAGGTCCAATCCGGGCTCAGAAAGGTTCAGGGCACAGTTCTTCCCGTCAGGACAGACTCTCCTCAGCCGTGCCCACAGGTAGGCCTCTCTCTGCTCGGGCAGTTACCAAGCTGTCTTACGGCTGCTGATAGCTGTTCACAGGCCACAACACCGGGAGCCTCGGCCTGAGAGCACTGGCTCTAGTTCTGTGGGTCAGCAAACCGAATCCCCCAGTGAAGTGCTTAGAGGCCGCCCACCGTCCTGTCTCACACGCTGCTCATGTCACTCCTCTAGCGTCACAGCTTTCTACTCTGGGGTCACAGAGGATCAACGAGACCAAGGGACACGCTCCACTCTTGGCTCTTCCTTCTTCAATGGTAGTGAGCTCCCCACTCTGGCCTCTGAGATGGCAAAACTGACCAATGACAATCAGCCGTTAATAATCACTCACAACTCAACCATAAAATCCATACGTGTCTTCTCCCACCTTCTGTGACCTAGACCCAGGAGGGCCGCAATGTTGTTTGGTGTTACAGACTACGGCTAAAAGAGACATTACGTAATCCACTACCCCACAGGGCACACCACTGTGTGTGCAGTAGACCCCGGGATGTATTGTACACGTTTCTCGAGCCAAGTCTCAGGCAAGGTCACCAAGATGCCCCACACCGGTCATTCCAGTTTCATCGTTGGACCCCAGCTGCGAGGAAACCAACAGTCCACCTGAGATGGGCTACATCACCTGAAATACTGCTTGTCGAAGCTCTCCTAAAGTCCTCCTTTTATCGAAGGTCCAGTGCCACACACTTTCTGCCGGTGAGACGACAGGGTGCAGAGCACCACTGACGAGCCGATAATGAGGGCTCAGGTGGAGATGCAATTCCAAATGGTTGCTGGCAGACTCCCATTGGGCCCTTTAAGAAGCGTCCAAACAGAAACACATGAGCTCACTTCAAAGCACATACATCTTAGCAGCTGTATAGAACCAACCTGCCTTCTACCTAAGCAACAAAAATGAAGATCCTTTTCTTCTGTGCTCCCAAAGAAAACATTCTCTATTTCTCATTAACAAGCAAGAATTTTGCTCAAATTACCACTGTGAATTGCAAGGAAAAACTGTGCTAATGCACACTGTGCAATGTGACCACAGTCTCCCAACAAACACTAACACTCAGGATCTTTCAGGTCTGAGATTAGTCTTGAACAAAATGCTCTAAACCTGCTCACATACTGAAGTGCTGCTTACAAACCTCTACTCCACCCTTACTCCTACAGATGCCCTAGACCTTCTAGAAAAGACATGAAGCAGCTCTCGTCACCTTCCTGAGTTTGCTTTGTGCAGCCCTAGGCTCGCTGCTCTCCTCGGAATCCAGACATCTGCAGCCAAAGCACGGACTCCAGACGGGTCCGATCAGCACACAGGTGGGCTGAGTCGACACCTTGATGGCACGTTTTTTGATGACTATATTAAAGCGCTCCCCAAACCAAGAGCTCTTGGTGTGGGGCCGTATGATCAGCACTGGGCTGTGAACCACAAGACTGAAAGTTCAAACCCATCAGCTGCTCCTGAGAAACCCTAAAGAGGGTCACTATGAGTCAGAACCAACCTGATAGCTCTGAACAACAACCCCAAACCAGGCCCACTGCTGCAGAGTCCAGTCCGACTCCCAGGGATGAGGCTGCGATCTTTATCTAACAGCCCATCGTTCTCCTGAGGTGGAGTGGCTGGTGGTTCGAATCACCAGCCTTTCAGGAGGCAGGCAAGGAAGGGCTTATCCACTGCATAGGCGTGGCCAGGGCTTCAAAGCTGAGGGCTTTTTTACTGCACTGTTTGATTGATACCTGCTGTTAATCCACACTAACCACGCAAACTGGTTTTCACATTTAGGATATTTCTGTCTGTAGTTTTTATCTTTTTCATGTTTGTTTCTATTGAGGTTTTCTTTGGTCTTGGTTTGTCATCCAACACACCTGATCTTTCTTCACAGCTCCAATCACTGATGAAAATGTTGAACACAGTCCTGATACATTTCTGCCCAACAGAGTCAAAGGGAACATCTTAAATACCCAGCATTTCCCTAACCCAGCAAGAGCCTAGTGATTCTGTCCAAGAGCTGATAAAGAACCAGCTCTGCAGGGCCAGGGTTAGGCACCCATAGAGAATGCTGGAATCATGGTCCCACAAACGATCCCTTCAAGAACTCTTTTTAGGTTTTTGCCCAAAATTGACATTAGGCCCAACAGTTTGTAGAATCTGTATCTCCTTGTGAATATCTACCTACTTCTGTCAGGACAGCCCAGTCCTCCACACCTTAAACAGCGGCGGGATTCTAACGGTAGGCCCTCTTTGTAGCCCAGATCTACTGCAGCTGTGTGTTCACAGCCACGTTTCCCCGCAGGCCTCAGTTCTGACTCAGCAGAGGGCACTTCATGTACCGTTCATCCTTCAGCCCAGTCTCCTGCCCAGACTCAGTCTCACAGTAAAACTCCACTAGGGAGGCACAGCCACTGCCTTTCCTTCCTTCCTTTGGAACTTTTCATGACTGAAACCTTCAGAAGCACCACTCAGACTCTCTAGGGAAGTTCAGTTACCTTTCTGCACGGAGTTCCTGGTTGGCTGCATCCATTTCACTCAGCAAATGGCCTGGCACCCCGTACCTCGGATTAGCTCGAGCTGTGAACAAAACCTGCGTTAACTTGAGTTGAGTAATGGTATGTGTGACATCTCTGAACACACACATTTGTGCATGAGAACGAGAGGGAACAGTGCTGCCCACCAGCGAATGGCTACTCACAAGTGTGTACACACGCATTTTCTCTAGTCTCAGTTATCCCCGTTGGAATGAAACACAACAAAGGGCGGTCAAATAGTTCTTAAGTCAAACTAGAAGAGTTCCACTTCGTCAATTCTCTTTAAATAAGAAAATGCAGTGTTTTCTGATTACAAATATAATTCCTGGTTATGGAACATAACAGAAACAGAGTCTCTGTAATCCTTCCCCCAGAACTAACCCGACCACCGCGATAATGTGCGTCAGGCACGATCCCCAGCACATGTGAGATATGCTGATGCTAGGCTGGGTCAACTCCATGTGCAAAACCATCATGTAAAGTACGCAGTGCTGTGAGGATGGCCACAATGGGGCACAGAAGCCATGTGAACATGGACAGCTGGGAGTGCTGCCGATACACCTGCTGGACACAGGGCTGCCACAAACCGTCCATTTGTAAACAACGCAGTACCTGTGTGCCTGAATGTACTTCTGATCTTTTCTCCCACGGCACACAACCCCCACCACCACCACCACGTGACGGATGTATTATACACATACACACACATACAGTTTTTAACACCAACTGGGATCACAGTCAACAAATTTGTAATGTGCCTATTCATTTCATAAGGGGACTTCAGAGTTTGTAGAAAAAATGGAATGAAAAGAAAATGGAATTTTCCCATGAACTTTTTGTATCCCCTTGTATTTTATGACCTTGTTTCTTAATGCTTCACTTTTTCACAACGGTCTCACAGTGAAACTGCCCCACAGGCTCTCCGAGGCCGTCATCTTATGGGAGCAGATCGCCAGCTCTTTCTCCTGAAGACTCTCTGTGCAAGGTTTGGACTGACGGCTTTTCTTTAGTGGTCAAGTGCTAACCATCGAGTCACCGGTGTTCCTGAAGGCTTCAAATGAATGAGTGGGCAGCTGTGCATTTTGTAAGTAGCATAAGTAACCTAGACAACTGTTTTTGCTAGACATTTAGTGGGTCCCAATTAGTCACTGTTAAAAAATCTTTTTTTTTCCCTCACAGTAATGTATGTGACATCTCTGATTACGTGCTCAAGACCAACCGTACAAGTAGGATGGAGGCTTTAATAGATTTAAAAATACACGCACGTGAATTAGCTGTCCTATTCACACTGCTAATAGCTACGTAGGAAATAATGACTTTGGAGAATCCGACTGTCAGGGAAAAATGCCAGCTCACCGCTGTTCCAGCAAGCTTCTCCTGATGATGCCCCAGCTAGGTTCTTGCAGTTTGCTGGTAGTTTGGTTTTGGTAAATTGCCTATTTATAACCTTTTCTCAGACTACTAATGAACACAAAGGAATTTACTTAGCACTCTACAGGTTGCTGCAGTTGTGAGAGGCTGCTGAGTCAGTTCTACCTCACAGAGACACCATGTCCAAAAGAATGAAACCCTGCCTAATCCGGAGCCAGGCAGATGAATGCTACTTGACAGGTTTTACTAATATCTTCCATTTTCCTTTTTATTTTGTTGAAGGTTTACAGCACTTTGCCTTTGTTGTTTTTTCTTCGCTTTTAAGCTTACAAAGGTCTTCTCTACCTTAAGATCAGAGGCATAATTTTATTCATGCCAAAGTATCTTGTTTACATAAAATATAAAGAGTTCTAATTTCATTTACGTGATTAGTTTAACAAAAGAAAGCTCATTATAGTTCTAACAGCTAACCAACTTACTGGAGTACTAGTGTAGGATAATGCACTAGACCACAAGGTTAGTTTGAACTGCAAGGTTGGCGGTTCAAATCCACCAGCCACTCCTCAGAAACCTTACAAAGGGTCACTATGAGTCTGAACTGACTAGATGGCACTTAACAACAACTTACCAGATGTATTTATGAACTATTTCCCTCCATTTATTTGAAAACCGACCTTATCGTAGATTAAACCCTATGCACACCTAGGCCAATTCCTGGGCTTCCAGCTCTATTTCAGTACTCTGATTACTTGCTGGCACCAGCACCAGCTGTCTTCATCAAGACAGCCTTATAAACACATTCACTCAGTCATCCTTCCATTTTGATTAACTTATCTCTCTGGGTGAATTTTAGAGTCATTTTGTCAAGTTCTGTCCCTCAGAGACTTTGGCTGGATCTTTATTCAATTCCTAATTAAGTGGAAAACTTTTATGAGTACACTTTCCAAACATACTCATGCTAAAATTCACTCCAGTTAAGAAGATAAATATTCCTTCTGAAGATATTCTTTCCCTGCTGTGCATAGGGTCGCTATGAGTCGGTACCCACTCAATGGCACCTAACAACAACAACAACAATTACAACAAGGGAATCATTAAGTAGAAATCCACGGTATTTATAAACGACAGCCTGTTGGATTTCGTTTGGCATCATGTATTTTTGTCTTTCCAGAGTAAACATTCTTAAAAAGCACACACACAAAAAAATCCAAATAGCACGCGATGCTTATCTTCTAAAGATGAAAGTGCTATTATATAAGTCAATTCATGAACTTATTTAACCAATAGGAATCTTTCTTTCCGTACATACCTTCAGGGGGTCTCTGCAACTGGGATTTCCGATAAAACAACATGTAGGCACTTTCTTTACCCTGAAATTGCTGTTCAATGTCCTTTTCCTGGATTGGCTGGACTTTGGAATCATTTATATCAAACCAGTGCGGGCAGGATGTGCCGCCATTGAACTCGGGGGTTTCTGAAGTCAGTGTCTTGAAAACTCGTTGACTATTCCTTTGGAAATCCTCCTTGGATTGGAGAGAGCAATTCTTCGATAGACTCACAGTACTTTCATCCGAACTGAGTAGAAATATCTGGGAATGGAGTTGTAAGAACTGTACAAAAACAAAACACGACCCCAAATACTAAGTTAGCAATTGATGTTTAAATTGCTCCAATTGTTTGCGGTCCAGTCAGTTCTGACTCAGTGATCCTGTATACGGTTTCCGAGACTATAAATCTTTACGGGAGATCAAAGTCTCATCTTTCTTCCAGGGAGCGGCTGGTGGGTTTGAACTGCTGACCTTGTAGTTAGCAGCCCAATGCGTCACCCACTCTACCACCAGGGTTCCCTATTTTTAAAATTACACACAATTAAAAACCAAGTTTTCTTCCTTCTGAGATTAAATGTTTTAATATCATCACTAATTCTGGCCTAGCCAATTAGGGAAAGAAATCCATTTGGGCCACAATGAAACATTTCATAAAAGCCAGCTTGCTCTTTGCAAACAGTCTACTCGTTTTATCAAGGGAAAGAGCTGTCATGCAACAATCTAAAAAGTATTTTAATTAAACCTCAACTATGCTGTCATAAAAAGATTTTCTGCTGGCACCGATTAGGTAGAAATCTAAATAAACAAAATAATCTAAATAAACAAACTTTTTTGTTGTTAAGTACCATGTTGTCGGTTCCGACTCATAGTGACCCTGCACAGGGTTTCCGAGGCTGTAAATCTTTTCGGGAGCAGAATGCCTCATCTTTCTCCTGCGGAACCACTGGTGGTTTTGAACTGCTGGCTTTGAGGTTAGCAGCCAGATTCGTAACCACTATGCTCCCAGAGCTCCTTAAATAAACAAACTACTGCTTGGTAAACTGGGGGGTTAGTGAAAATGAGGAAGACCCCCAACGAGATGGTCTGGCACAGAGACAGCAGCAATGAGCTCCAGTGTAACAATACTTGTGAGGAGGCTCAGGATGAGGAAGTGTTTCGTTCTATTGTGCATGGGGCTGCTATGAATCGGAGTGGCCAAGTGGCAGCATCGATGGGCTCAAGCATGGCAACAGTAGTGAGGTTGGCCCAGGATCGGGCAGTGTTTCATTCTACTGTGCATACAGTCGCTATGGGTGGGTACCGACTTGATGGCACCTAACAACCACCACCATAACAAGGAGTCGTGGTGTGGCACTGTGGTTTAATGCACTGGACCACACTGCATGGTCAGCGTGGTTCAAGCTCACTAGCTGCTCCTTGGAAACCCTATACAGGGTCACTATGAGTGGGAACCAACTCGACAGCCTTAACAACAACAACAACAACCATAAACAAACAACAAAATAAAAGCCATCATACAGCACAACACTGGAGGGAAGGTGGAAACTAGTGGCCCCAATGGACACTACTGAAGTAATCATCCTAAACCTGAAGTGTCGTTTTACAAAAATCATTGATTTCTGTTGTTGAGAATACACAGCAAAACAGACATGCACTCCAGTTTCTATACGGACAATTCAGTGAGACCGATGGTGCTCTCTGAGTTGTGCTTTTTCTCCGCTGACATGAATCCGCGGCCCCTAACTTCTTTATCTTTCCAGTTGCTGTTGTCAGTGGGTCCCAAGCTACATCTTGAAAGAGCACAAGGCTCACGGCTCATAGGCTTGACTAGTGAAGATAACTATTGAACGGTTCTAAGAAGGGATCAAGGGGTTTGGGTTTAAGGTTTAAAGACTGTCTCAGGGCAATGTTTTATGGGCTCATCCTGCCTCCCTATCTCCAGGAAGTCTCGAGTCCATGGGCATTGAAAATTTTGTTCTGTATCTGCCCCTCTTTGATCAGGTCTCTTGATGGAATCTTGGATCAAAATGTCAGCAGTAGTTTCTAGGCACCATCCAGTTCTTGTGGTCTCACAGCCAAGGAGGTAGTGGTTCATGAAGGCGATTAACCACACATTCCCTCTCCTCCTCTCATTCCAGAGTCTTCTCCACTTCCTCTGCTGTTCCAGGCGGAGAGAATTACGCCATGGATGGCTGCTGGCAAGTTTGAAGCCCCCAGGCACTACCCAATGACCCAGTAAGTGGAACGGAACCACTGAACACAGCACTGGGCCAATTCAGCAAGCCATGCTATGACATCATGAGCCAAGCCAAGGAACCCAGCCCCATGAGGTGTTTGGTGGTCTGCAGGCAGTCTCAGCAACTACTTTTTTGGGTGTGTGTGTGTCATTGTTGTAAATGTATCACACAACTTACCAATTCACCTTTTTACAGGCATACAAGTTATTGATGGCAATCACATTAATCGGCTGTACAGCCTAAAGTATCTTTTTAACAGTAATTAAATTGAATGTTATCTGTCTTAAAAGCTGTTATGTGCCACTGAATCATAACCTCAGACTCTCCAGTTTTCTTGCTAAAGGAGAGAGAAAACAATCTCTCTGCATCACCTGTCCCTACCTTCCTATCTGACTCTCCTCTCCCCTTTCTCTCTCAGCAAACTTACTCCGCTTAGAAATTCCTTTGGAAGCTGTACGTGACATTGACCTTCCCCGTCAATGAAGGAGGACAGGGGATGTCCTCATCTTTCTCTTGGAAAGAAAATCACTTGGGGTCCTATCAGGTCTTTACTCACAAGTAATATTTTAACATAAAGAAAAGGGATTAAGACATATGACCCAAAAATAAAAGTGTCAGCACTGTGTCTGAGAACAGGTGGGAAATAAGTTTTACCAAATTTATTCGGGAAATAATTAAATATCAGCAAGTAAACCTTTTTCAGTACTGTTATTTTCTGTACAGCTGTTTTTTTTTTATCTTTCTTGTGTGAAGTTGGAGATTAACTCTCTTAAACCTCAAAGTTGAATGCAGTGCAGTTCTAGTTCTGGAAATGGCAGATAACCATTATCAGACTAATCCCCGATGAAAATTATAAATTGGATAAAATCAGTAACTTTCCATTCCTGTCTCCTGTGCTGGTTTGTTAACGCTAATATTTTGAATGGCTGTTCTAGGATTACATCACACATAAATTATGCTCATACCGTTTAATGTATAATGCAAGATGGCTCCAACATTAGAATTCCATTCCCCTAACTCCATCCATTTCTCCTGATGTTTTCTTGTATTTTATCATTACAATTTATAGTTGTAAATGGCATCATATACCATTATTTTTTATTTAAACACTTAAATTAAGGGAAAAGTTCTATTTTGTATTTATTCTGCTGTTCATGGTTACGTTTGGTCCATCCAGGTTTTAATCTAATAGAATGCCCCTTCACCCTAAGAACTTCCTTTAGCAGTTTCTAAGAGTCCCGTCTGCCAGCAAAAAAATACTCTTAGGCTTTATGTTTGAAAATCTCTCTTTTGCCTTCATTTGTGAATATTTTTGCCAGAAACACAATTCTAGACTGATGATTTTGTTGCTGTTTTTCTCTGAGAGCACTTTAAAGATGTGTTTTGATTTCCATTTATTTGGCTGAGAAGTTAGCTGTTATTTTTTTATTATTTTCTTGAATGCAATTTGTCTTTTTTTCTCTGGTGTTCTAAGATTTTCTTTAGCTCTGATTTTATGCAGTCTGACTATAATGTGTCTAAGTATATTATTCTTTGTGTTTATTGCTTTGTATTTGGTAAGCTTTTTCAAATCTGTGGACTGAAGTTTTTCATCAATTTTGGAAAATATTTGGCTTTATTGCTTTGATTTTTCTCTGCACCATTATCTGTCTCCTTCCAGAACTCTAGAACATTTGTATTTTAGACCATGAAATACTATTCCACAGGTTTAGGATGTTCTGGGTTTTTTGTTCTGATTTTTCCTGCTGCTTTATAATTTGGATAATTTCCATTCATCTGTCTTCAAGTTCATTATTCTTTCTTCTGCTATGTCTAATATCCTATGAAGCCCAACCAATGAACTTGCTTCAGATATTATATTTTTCAGTTGTAGAATTCCCACTTAATTTTACTTACAGTTAAGTGTTTACTGTGCATTTAGTTGTATTTAGAATGTCTATTTCTCTGCTAAAATTCAATTTGTTTACCCATTCTGTACATATTTTCCTATTGTTGTTATGTGCCGTGGAGTCGATTCCGACTCATAGTGACCCTGTACAGGGTCTCCAAGGCTGTAAATCTTTATGGGAGCAGAAAGCCTCATCTTTCTCCTGCGGAACAGCTGGTAGTTTCGAACTGCTGACCATGAGGTTCGCTGCCCGATTTGTAACCAGAGCTCCTTTATTTTCCTATAAGTGCTTTAAAATATTTATAATAGCTATTTGGGGAGTATCTATAATCTGTTCTATTTGTTATCATAACATCTGTAGTGTCTATAGGTCTGTTTCTATTGACTGTGTTTTATTTCTTGATTGTGGATCACAATGTCCTATGAATGACATGCAATTTTATACTTGTTGCTGTTGTTAAATGCCATAGAGTCTGTTCTGACTTCTAAAGAGCCTGCATAGGGTTTCTGAGGAGGCTGATGATTTTGAACTACCGACCTTGTGGTTCAAACCGACCTTGCAGTCCAGTGCCTATCCTACAGTGCCATACCAGAACTCCAGTTTTCTGTTGTTGTTTTTTCAAATGATATGCTGTGAAACACACAAAAAAAACCCAAAACCCACCCCTTTCGAGCCAATTCCGACTCAGAAGCCCTAAAGGACAAGAGTAGAACTGTACCACAGGGTTTTCAAAACTCGATGGCACTCAACACCACCACCACCAACAACCTTTACGGAAGCAGTTTGCTGTCTTACCCAGAACAGCCATGGTTTAGTAACTAAGAACTTTGTTTTTTTGAAGTTTCACAGTGTGTCTACTAAGCTGTCAAATTGCCTTTGAACCATTTTGATCTTCTCGAAGTTTCATCTTGAGCTTTGTTAGGGTGGCTCTATTGTAAAGGTACCTTTAGTCCCAGTGAGCAGTTCTTGGTCCAAGGGCAGGATTCTTTAAATAAGGACCTTTACCTCTTGGTCCACAAGCCTAAAATTTTAATATCTGGCCCTTTTAGAAAAGTAATACATTAAAAACGTATCATGAAAAAGTATGATTTATGTCAGGAATTTAGGACTAACTTGACATTTAAAAAGAATCCCTGGTGGCACTATGGGTTAGGCA